CTCAACTATTGCTGATTTATTAGTTCCCTGAGGACATCAAGGAGTTACCACAAACCAGAAAATGTTACAGGTAGAATAATTTGGACTCACCTCCTCTGTACACCTACTTTGTTTTTTCCCTAAAGAACTTTGGATTACTAAGAAATAAAAATTAATCAGAGGGGGAACAGAAATGTTAAACCATCCAATCCACAGCTTTTTTCTTACCTTCTTGCTGACTTTAGGCTGGGTTTGCTTTTTCGTTTGTGTGAGATGTCCCTCTGAGCTGCTCCTGCTCATTGTCAGTGGGTTTCCTCCACCTGCCTCTGGATCTCCCTGGGAACCACTTGGAACCCGTGGGATTGCAGGTGGGAGGAGGCTGAGCAACCACCTGTCAGCAAAGTGAGTTCCTGCCAAACCAGGGATTCCTGGGAGATGCTGCTCCATCAGCTGGGTGAATCTGGAGGTGGCACAAGGAGCTGGTGGTGAGCTGGGAACAAAAGATTGAGAAGGCCTTAAAAAGTGAGATATATATTTATATAATCTATAATCTATATATTTATCGATATATCTATATATAGATATCTATATTATATCTAGATATATAATCTATCTATCTATATATCTATCTATATCTATATATCTATATATCTAGATATATAATCTATATATCTATATTATATCTAGATTATCTATATATAATCTATATTATTTATATAATCTATAATCTATAATATATATTACTATATAAATTTATTTTTCTATAAGTAAATATTTCTCACAATTTTATAAATATATATTTTGTTATGTATGATTATGTATATAGAACATTATTATTTTATTTTTAATATAATATTATATATTTATATATTATATTTTTAATATTATATTTATATATATTTTATATATTACATTTATGTATTATATTTTATATAGTATATTTATATTTTATATAGTTATATTATTATATATATTTATATTTTATATATTATTTTATATTATATTTTATATATTAAATTTATATTTTATATTTTACATTATATTTATATTTTATATATTCTATTTATATTTTATAGTTTATATTATATTTATATTTTATATATTGATATTATTATATATATTTATATTTTATGACATATATTTTTATATACAGCAGGAAGCTCAACAAGCAACCTGCATGTGGAATATACTGGGAGCATGAAGATGGAAAAACGGGGATCTCACAATGACTGACTTTGCTTGCACCCAAGTGTATGGAAACTGCTTAAAATAAATGGAAAAAACTATAGATGGGGAGACTTTCAGCCTGATGCAAAATTACCTAAAGCCAAGGAAAGCTGCTTTCAAATGGCTTTGGGTCAGGCCCACTGAGCACTGAAAGAAATCCTACATAGCTGAGGATTTTCATGCTCTTTCCCACAGGGAGGGAGCCAGAATTGGCACTGCACTGACTCTGGTTTATGCACAATTCTCTTTCCTATCTGTATTTTAAACTTTTCCTTCTAGAAACTTCCAGCTGTGGGAAGTTCTATGCCTGGAACTGTCCTTTGCCAATGCCATATTTAAAAATCAGTAGCTACAATGAATCTTAAATTAATAATAATCTATTATTATTATTATTATAATCTGCAGGCTTGTAGCAGAATAACTTTATACTTCAGGCTTTAAAGCATTTTATTGTCCATTTCTATATTTTTTGGGCAATCACAGTGTTATAATAATACTCTTTCAACACTTACATCCTTACCATAAACTACTGATATCATAGTTCTGGTACCTTTTATCCTCATGAATGTGTTTTTTGCAGTCCTGAAGCGGGATTTGATCCTTCAATTCTGGAAAACTGCCATTAAAAGTAGATGAAATATTCCTCTGTTTCGGATTTTCTTGGCCACTGGTACTTGCAAAACGCTGCCCGGGGATGTGGTGGTGTGAATGTGGAATTCCACGTGGAGAATCCTGCTGGTATTTCCTGTTCTCCTTGCTGGTGTCTGCTGGGTTCCAGTGCTGGGATGTGGGATGAACAGGCCAGGTAGATGTGGGAAAGCCTTGGTTAACAAAATGTCTTGAATTTGGGGAATTATTGAAGCCAGTGTTGGATTTTGCTGCTGGATCAGCATCAGGGCCAGCAGCAGGATTGGGATGCAGACATTCCTGCAGGGCAGTGCTCTTGTCCTGCTCCTCTACACTGGGAGCAGCCTGAAATCCTGGGATTTGCTGGGGATTGTGGTGCCAAGGCTTTGGTTCTGCTGCTCTTCCCGGTGGTTGTTGGCTGCCGTTCCTTGGAAATTCTTTGCCATCGAGATTCCCGGTGGGTTTTGTTTTCTCTCTCTGGGAGAACTTATTGTGCTGATCCTGAAACAAGTCACCAAAAGTGGGGTGAGCTTCAGTTCAGGTGTTCAACAGGAGCCCTTAAATGCACAGGACTACCTGTTCCCAACCCTGGGGACTGGAGAAAATCGTTCAAAAATCAAAGCAATTCTTGGATTTTGTTCCCTAATGAAAGCAAACTGTCCCAAATTTCAGGGAAAGGTGGCTTTGTACAAAGTAAACTGCCCCAAATTTCAGGGAAAGGTGGTTTTGTACAAAGCAAACTATCACAAATTTCAGGGAAAGGTGGGATTGTACAAAGCAAACTGTCCCAAATTTCAGGGAAAAGTGGTTTTGTACAAAGCAAACTATCACAAATTTCAGGGAAAGGCGGCTTTGTACAAAGCAAACTGTCCCAAATTTCAGGGAAAGGTGGCTTTGTACACACTATTAGACTGATCCACAGCAGGAACAGACTGATGTCAATCATATGAATGATTTTATTTCTAAACCTCCTCCCTGCCTGTATCCCACAAAACATAACCCAGATGATAAGAAACAATTTCAGAGTTTAACCACACCAGGGCTGCTGTCGTGAGCTGAACTGCCCTGCTCTAAATCTGGAGTTTATTTAAGATTTATCCCTTTCCAATTACAGCCTCAGGTGTTGCCCACTTTGAGGAAGGAACACACAAATCCATTCTCAGTCCATTTAATCTTTGTCAGGGCTAAAATCCTCCATTTCATCCTCCCGTCTCTACAGGGTTCTTTTGTCAGCAACACTTGCAATCAGCCCATGGCATATGCACTCAGAATAACTGCTTAATGGTAGGAATTAAATCCACATATAGACCAGGGGGTTTTGGTGAAAGCTTTAGCCCTGGGCAATCCTGCCTCCTGCAGCCAACGGGGGGATTTGTCAGCTCCACCTCTGCTCTAACAATCCATGTCCTGGCACATTGTGCCACTGCTGCCAAAGTTTTCCCATTTAAACAGCCCCTACTTCACCCTGAAATTCCATAAATAAACCAAATCTGTCCCGATGAACAGCAGCCTAAAATCCTGTTTGTGCTTTGCCTCCAGTGTGAACAGCTGGGAATTTAAGCAGTGCCTGGATTACCTCAAATACTTGAGAATAACCAGGTTTGCCAGAAATAATCACAGTTGGCTGGTTCTGAAGCTCCTGTTTTTTCATCAGTGATCATAACCTGGTCTCTTCAGTGCTCCAGAGACTCACAATGCATTGGTTTAAAGCCAGCAGAAAACAGATTTATGTGTACAGAGGAGGTGAGTCCAACTACTTCTACATGTAACATTTTCTGCTTTGTGGTGACTTTTGATTTTCACAGGGATTTTAGGGGACAAATAAGGCAGCAATAACTGAGTTCTAGCTCAGAATCCTCATAAACCATCAAACATGACCATGTACCACTGTGATTTTGCATTATTATCAACTAAATAATGTCATAAATCAACTAAATAATGCCATAAATAGGTAAGATTCTTTAAGCTCAGAATTCCTTGGCATTGGGGATCCCTTTTGCTTTAAAAATATTCAGTCCATAAAGCACATGCACTAAATTTTGGTGATTATCTATTGATAAATGTTCAAGGATTTATTGTCAGTCATCAGTACTTTAAAAGTAACAAGACGACAGCTTTAAATATCCAAACTTCAATGATTTTATATATAGATTTCAGTTATTAAATTCTATCCAAAAGGAACCTTGAGCTGCTGTCCTTTCAGGTTGTCTTCAGGCTTCTTTTTCACCGTCTGGGGTGGTGGTTCTTCCTCATCAACTGTTTTAGGATCTGTAACCTGAAAATTGAGAATGTTTATGGCAACAGCCCAAAGAAATGAAAGGCTTTAAAAGTCTTGGGGAAAGAACGAGCAATAATTTGCCCCCTATTAAAACTAAAATGCTGAAGTTAGGCATTATATAATAGGCAACAAGAAAATAAATGAGAGAAAATAAAGAGAAAAGGAAGCAAAAACCCAATTAACAGTGGTGTGGTGTTGGGGAGTGTTCCTTCTACTTTTAAGGGGAAGAGAGGAAAAGAAAATTGCAGGAAGTTTGCAGCACAGAAACCTCCTTGTGATTCTCCAGTGTCTGGGCTGCTCCATTTCTAGGAGTGGATGCACCTAATGACAGAAAAACAACCAGAAACCATCCCTGGCCAAGCAATCAGGCACTGATGGATGATACACCCCTCCCTCTGCCAGGGCCTGAGCAAGTCTTGCAGAAAGAGATGGCAAAACACAGTAATACTGGGAGAAAAGGGCAGGGGAAGCTGCAGGAATAAAGCATCCAATACATGTAACCTGGCAAAATAAGCTCCCAGACAAGAACACCTTCATGTGGGAACAGGATGGGAGCTGCAAATCTGATTTGAACCATTTTTTGCCAAGTAAATGCAGCAATAATGAACATTTTCCTTGAAAGCATCATTTTTTTCCCCCTTAATCTATAAAACTGCAGGAAAACAATTATTTTTTAATTTTTTTTTATTTATATTTGTGTTGTTCCAAACTATTCTGCCGAGTGACCTCGATGAGTGGGGCAGTGTCACCATGGCAGGTGGTGACTCACACAGGACTTGCACTGAGAATATACCTATGACCAAGAGGACCATGAATTCAAAATCAGAATGGTGAAATCAGTGGGAAGAAAGTGTGAAATCCTTCCAGGAAGCTGTGGTGAAATCAGTGGGAAGAAAGTGTGGAACCCTCCTGGGAAGCAGAGCCTCTCTGGGGGTGAGAGATCAGGACAACAAAGAAAAGGTAAGTGGGTTTTTTGCTCCAAATGGAAATGCAGAAATTATAAAGCAAATGAAAAGTCTGCACACAGGTTTCCTGAACCGTGGAAAGACACAGCTCTGCAGGCAGCAGGATGTTTTTGGTGGAACCAACTGACTCACTGCATTGATGGTTTCCTGGGCAGGTAAAACATACTTCTACATTATCTCTTTGAAAGAGGAACAGGACACAACCTCTGCCAGCGTTTTTTTTTCTTCTTCTTCTTTTTTTTTTTTTTGTGAACCATTCTATTAATACCAATCAAATTGAGAAAATGATCAAATGAAATTGCATTTTGAGAATCATAAGCTGTGTAATGCCTATTCTGTTAAATTGAGGCCCGTAATTGCTTCTCTACTGAAAAGATACAACAAAGACAGCAATCATGGCATGTCATTATCCCAGACTAGAAAACCAGCCTTTGCAGTGAGGACTTCAAAGGCTTGTGGTTCTCGAATTGCATTTGGCTGCTATTGTTGAAGCACAGGCAATCTTGATTAGGTGTTTACACGGAGGTAAGGCACAGTGCACACAGAGTCTGAGTGCCTTGGTCTAGAGCCATTAAAAAATTGTACATTATGTTCCTGGCTTTGAAGTAAGGGGCTTGGAGGTAGGAAAGCAACTCAGATTGAGCACAGCTGAGCTAGATTGGGCCACTACTTCTCTCTCTTTCCCTCTCTCTCTCTCTCAAAGAAACTCATCATCGGGTTCTTTAAGAATCAGGCAACGCTGCAAAGAACTTGATGCTTTATAAAATGCTGTATAAATTAGTAAATATACAGATCAGCCCCCGTTTATGGTATGTTTTGGTACATGCTGCCCGCATGCACAGAGAGAACAGGGGAATTTTGCAAGAAGGAGGCTGCAAATATTTTAACTCCAATGTTTTAACTCCAATGTTTTAACTCCAATATTTTAACTCCAAAGTACTGACTTCAGTGTAAACACTATTTCATTACCACAGCACCAGTGGCATATCAATAAAAATATCCTATCAATAAAACCAGCTTCAACCCCCTGCAAAGCTCAAATTAATCCAGTTTAGGAAACAACAGTTTGGTCACTTCAGCAGAGGCTGTGGCTTGTTTGCTTCTTCACATCCTCAGTGTTTTTGCACTTTGTGGTAAAGTTTTCCAGGTGAGGGGATCAAAGTTTGCTCCTGGACCAACAAGATGCTTCCTTCACGTCTTCTTTCACCCCTTTCAATATGATGGAGCAATGAATTAAGGACATGAGAGGTAAGTGCTTCCTCCTGTGCAGCAAACACATGGGTGGTGATGCTGCTCCCAGAATCCCAGAATTCCAGAATTTGCTTGGAATGGACCTCAAGGATCACCTAGTTCAGCCCCCCTGCCTTGATCAGGACACCTTCCACTAGCCCAGGTTGCTCCAAGCCCTTTCCAGCCTGGCCTTGGACACTTCCAGGGATGGGGAGTCCACTCCCTCTGCTGTTGTGGCTGTATCAAGTTTTTGATGGAAGAAACACATGTCACAGCTCTGCTGTCCCCTTCAGCAAGGAAATCTTCTATCACAGCCCTTTTTCCCTGCTACATATCTTTGAATAGTGCCAACACAATGGAGTCCTGATCCCTGGCTCCAAGACTCAGACAGGAAAGATTTTCAGAACTCCCTGGACAGCAAACATAATCATATCAACACAGCTTTAATTAGCAGCAATCTGCACTAATTATTTTTGCCATCAGCCAAATTACAACTGGAAGAAAACAAGTGCTCCTAATAGCCCTGCTAGAAGAAAGCCTGTCCACTGTTCCTGTCAGAGGAATGGAGTCACCACATGCCCTCTAATGTTGTGTCAACTGTTCATTAGCCCTGAGAAGAAGTTTTACTCCAAGCACAAAGTCCCAGCGGTTTTCCAAGCTTAGAATTTTTTATCCCACAACTCCTGGAGCGATCCAATGACTCCCACCTTCCCATTATGCACAGTAAGTAGCAAGTAAAAGCAACAAACTCGTGTGTAATGGTTCATTAGGAGCTGTAATTATGTTTCCACTTGATCCTTCACACAAGTTGGCTGATATTTCACAGCACAGGCCCTTCAAACCTGAGGGCTGCACGTGATTCTAGAGCTGCTGATGGCCAGGAGGAAATCTGGGCTGGGATCTTGGCAAACCTCAGAAAGTTCAACAAGGCCAAGCAAATCCACAGGAGACAATGGAGATGCTCCAGGGCTGGAGCCCCTCTGCTCTGGAGCCAGGCTGGGAGAGCTGGGGGGGTTCCCCTGGAGAAGAGAAGGCTCCAGGGAGAGCTGAGAGCCCCTTCCAGGGCCTAAAGGGGCTCCAGGAGAGCTGGAGAGGGATCTGGGACAAGGGATGGAGGGACAGGACACAGGGAGTGGCTTCCCACTGCCAGAGGGCAGGGATAGATGGGATATTGGGAACGAATCTTCCCTGTGAGGGTGGTGAAGGGCTGGGATGGAATTCCCAGAGAAGCTGTGGCTGCCCCATCCCTGGAAGTTTCCAAAGCCAGGATGGATGGGGCTTGGAGCAACCTGGGCTAGTGGAAGGTGTAAACTGAGGGGTGGAACTGGATGAGCTTTAAGGTCCCTTCCAACCCAGGCCACTCTGTGATCCCATCAGTTGGTATTTTCTGCTTTGAACAAGACTTGGAATTTGCTATTAGCAGAGTTCATCATCATCAAATTCATGCTGGCCAAGCAGGAAAAACTCAGAGGCAGCAAAGAAAGAACCACTGAGAAGGTGCAGTGCAGAACCAGTATTTCTTTAGCTTTATCTAGATTAAAAACTAGCATGAGATCACCTCTGGGACACCTTCATGGCCAAGAACACACGTGGCTTTACTGGGCTTGTAACGTGGCCATTGCTGGGGTTGTTACTGAGGACTTGGCAATTCTTCCATAGGGAACAAGATTCTCCCTGGAAATCCTAATTTATCAGTTGCATGACTGGTTGCAAATCTCATCTCCTCTGCAAACCTCACCATGCATTGCATTTTAACACTAGACAGTCCTCAGTTTATAAAAATATGTAAAAATTACCCACCTGCTCTTGAAGACCTTGTTGTTTTTTCTTGTGTAACTCCAGATAGGAATTTATCCTCTCTGAGGGCAATCCTAAAGTCTGTTTATTTTTTTTCACAAAGTTTTTCTTTGCTCTTTGGGGTCGATCTTTGGACTGAAAACCATCTCCAGATTCCTTCTGTTTGGTTTGGAGCCCAAGGGGTTCATTGCTGACCAGGACATTTGGTTCAGGAAAGCTTAAAAATTCTGAACCGAATTCTGAGAACGAATCTTGTGGTTTTGCCTCCTCTTGACTCTTTTCTTCTGAGGAGCCACTGGAATGGAGGTAAAATGACTCCTGGAAAAAGTCCACACTGCTTCCTCCAGCTTGAGATGCTTTTCCTACCCTTCTTGTGTTTTTCCAGTTAGGATTGTACCTTAGGCTGGAATATTTGTCCACAGACTGGTTTTTCCTATTTAAAAAACAAACACACAATTATTCTGCACAAACTGTGCAAATTCTTTATTATTTCATTTTGCAATTGGAGCCAACAAACATTCTGCAAATATGGCCAATTGACTTAGTGCATAGAGTGATTGGGATTGGAATCAGAACAGTTTTATCCAACATTTTTTTAGGAGAAAATTTAGGCAAGACTTCCTCTTCATTTTTAATTTGCATTACCAGTGAATGATAAATTGGTCTAACATCCAGATCACAGTTGAATACAATCATTATCCTAAATTCAGCACAGAAATCACAAGTAGCAGTGGTAGAATCAGCTAAAAGTTGAAGTGATATCTTATATTGCTTCTGTTGTTTCCTTAAAAATCATATAACCCACAAAAGGCAATGTGTGTTTCTCCTTCTGCAGAGACTCTGCTGAGTGAAATAAAAGTGATATTCCTGGTAAAATCACTCTCTCAAGTGTCCTTTTGAGACTGTCCAAGCAGGAACAGCCTCCAGCTCTGTATTTTTATTTTCTCTTCTCGTTCCTATGAACCACCATGATACTGCAATAAAAAACTCTTTCTGTGAGAGACTTAAAATAACTTTTCATTAAAAGATGAGTGTAGAAAAACATGAATAAGAAAGGGCTGTGGGTTTGCCTATTTTTTTAACAATCATTGCTCTGAATTACATTTGTCATGAAGCAAACACAGATGCTCTGCTTTAAAAAAATCCACAATTGGTTCGATTTTTGATTTATGATCTGATCCAACGGGAGGAAAACCAACTGCAGGAGCCAAATACATAAAAAGTGGCTTCCAGGAGATGTGGAGGAAGTAACAGGAGTAAGAAACGTGGGAGGAAAAAACTTTTAAGACTGTTTTTATTTCACTGGACCTGCAGTACAGCCCTGGTTTCTTGGGCACTGCCATGATGAGTCTTTCAGAGTGACATTTATGAAATGTCCAACCAGGCTGAAACCTGGTTGACTCCTCAGCCCCTATTAAAATAAATGCTCTGATGTGCTGGATTCTCCAAAGTGTGGCCTAGTTAATCCTATTAACATTTCCATAAACCATTTATGCACGTTTTTAAATGAGTGACGTGCCTTTGCCTGTATTTCAAGTGGCTCCTGACAACAAAATAATGTTTTATTTTCATTTCAGGTAACCACCGGTGTGCTGTGTCCTGGAGAGGAGGTGATTTATCTGGGGGAAAACATGATTATTTCCCGTTGCCATGCACTGCAGGTAAACAGAAATAGGCGACCACATTTGGAAATGAGTACAGAAATATGTGATATAATTGCAGTGATTCAGAGGATAATGCTAAAGAGCCCCATTGTGCTTGAAATGGGGGCTCAATTGCGGGCTCCAGGCCGGGTCACTGCACGGGGACAAAATGAGTGTGAAGAGCCCCTTCAGCCCTAATCATCCCCCAGACAAAAAGGGCACCTTTTATTCCTCCCCCTCCCCGCCCCAAGTGGAGGGGAAGGTTAGATGGACTCTGCTCCTCCACAAAAGTGGGGTGTGCAGACAACAGATGCAGCACTTCCTCTTCAAATTCCAGGGTTAGTAATGGATGTACAAGGGGGTTTTATATGTATATGCTGTGATATTTGCTCTGGTTAATGGACTGGGTTGGAGTACTTACTGGGCTAAGTTCAAACAAAATAAAATCAAATTTCCATTTAATGAAGAGCCTCACATTCAGCGCAGTATTCAGTCAAAAAAATTACTAAAAATTAGAGCATGTTTCTAGTACAATTAACATCATTTGCACCCACAATAAAATATTCAATAACTGGCCATTTTGCTTGTTGAGGAGGTGAATAAAAGCATGCTATTAATCATTTAGCCTTCATTTGTTTGTCATTTTATTTTAAGTAGACAATTAAATTGAAACTGCACATTATTATTACTTCGGGTTTAATTTAATCCCTCTAAACTTGAGAATTATTCCCAATTCATAGAGGGTTAAACCTTTCATGTGCACGGCAGCAAATTAAATTTCATTTTATGTACCAAGTTAACGCTTTCTAAAGGATGTTTAAAGCTGACAGTAACCCTGGACATTTTCAGATTTACACAGCCATGAGGACAAAACTGCATTTATTCAAGCCATTAATTTTTGCCTGTAAGTTTTCTAAGAGAAGTGGCCTGGTTTGTTCAGCACCTTTTGTAAGGAATGAGAAGAGGGCTCAGTACTGAGTCTTGTTTTTTTCTCTCTTGTCTTGCTCTCCAAATTCTCCCTGCAAGCAGTGACTGGAGAGTCACAGAATTATGGAATGTCTTGGGTTGGAAGGGATCATAAAGATCATAAAGTCCAACCCCTGGTGATGCCCCCCAGGACAACTGATGTCCCTCCTGGTAGCTGGGCAACTGTGACTCATATTTAACTTGCCCAAAGGTTTGTGAGGGATGTTTTCTTCTCCATCTTACCCTCCTGGACCGGCCATAGGTCATTTTATGTTTCACCCAACATAATAAAAGTCAAGGATATGCTGAGCAGTGGGCATAGTAATTACGAATGTAAGATGAAATAGTACATCTTGGTGTGTAACTGTGTCTGTAGGTCCTCTAAAACTATGTCTGTAGGTGCTTTAATAGCACTTGGGCAACATAAATTGGTCTTGAAATGCCATTTGTATATTGTGAGGAATACAAGGTCCAGAGGAGAGCAACAAGGCTGGGGAAGGGACTGGAGCACAAGTGCTGTGAGGAGAGGCTGAGGGAGCTGGGGCTGTTCAGCCTGGAGAAGAGGAGGCTCAGGGGGGACCTTCTCACTCTCTCCAACTCCCTGACAGGAGGGGGGAGCCAGGTGGGGGTTGGTCTCTTTTCCCAGGCAACTCTCAGCAAGACAAGAGGGCTCAGGGTCTTCAGCTGTGCCAGGGGAGGTTTAGGTTGGATATTAGGAAGAATTTCTTTCCAGAGAGGGTGATCAGCCATTGGAATGGGCTGCCCAGGGAAGTGGTGGATTCTCCATCCCTGGAGGTTTTTAAGGTGAGACTGGATGTGGCATCAGTGCCATGGGCTGGGAACCACAGCGGGGTTGGATCAAGGGTTGGACTTGATGATCTCAGAGGTCCCTTCCAACCCAGCTGATTCTATGATTCTATGATTCTATGAAAGTATCAGAACTGTTCTGCTCACCTACTGAAATCTAAGCCTTACCTTCCATTCTTCTGTGTTCCCTTTGGACTGGTCTCTTCTGAGCTCACTTCCTCCAGGCTGTCCTCTTCCAGGCTGTCATTGTCCAGCTCTTCAGACCCCAGTCCCAGGAGCTCCTCATTCTCCAGGATCCTCTGCTGGAGCCCCAGCTGATCCTGCCCCTCCTCAGCGAGGCTCTCCAAGTCCGAGTCCGAGTCCTGCGGGCTGGAGGCAGATCCCCCTTCCCTCACAAGCCCCCTTTGCCATTTGGGAGGGTGGAAAACGGGCGGCACGAGGACTTTTGGAGGCACGTGGATTTTATTCACGGTGCGAGAGTGTGGAGAAAACACTGCAGTGTATTTCAGAGCTGAGGGTTTCATGCTGTGGTTTGCACTGCTGGTTTATTTACACCAGCCCTGTGTTTGGAAAACAGAGCAAACAAAAAGGTTGTCGGCCTTATAATAATGATTATATTTATTAAAAGCTGCAGTTGTGGGTACTATTGTTGGCTAAGGCTCAGAATTTGAGCTTTTATTGTTCAACAATTCTTTATTCTCATCTGTCACACTCATGTTTCATTAAGCAGTTAATATCAAGGTCCCTATGCAGCAACAGCTATGAAATCTACCTTAAGCTATTGGTGGTCATAAATAATGCATAAACAGCTTTTGAAAAGGAAAATGAAGCTGAGACAAAGCAACAAGATGTTATGTGTTAACTTTTGAGAGTTCAAATAAATTCTGGATGTTCTCTTTATTCAACTTGATACCATCTTGACATGCAAAATCAGCAAGGAAGTGTGACAGGGAACAACACAGTGAAAAGAACTGGAACATTCTGAATTAGGATGAGAGTTTCTTTACATTTGATTGAAGTGTTCAGAAGTCATTAAGGTAAAGTGTCTGGGAGGGAGGGAAAAGGCTGGTTTATGATAAAAGGTACGTTAGTCACAGCACACACGTGGGTAAAGGTGCACAGGGAGTGTCACCTTTGCACGTGGGGGATAAATAATTCCTAATTTTTCAGATGTGACAGCTGGACAGACCCCTGTGCCCATTGCTCCATCACCCACAGCCTGGAGGGCAAAGCCTGGGATGGGCAAGGAAGGTGGAATCTCACTGGGAATTGCCTCTCCTTCCACAGTGTCCATGAGGGAGGTGAGACCCTGCCTGCAACCCCTGTCCAGGTCCCTCGGGGGCCGAAGCAGGACCTCAGTCCCTGGAGAAAAGCCAGGCCAGGTGTGTGTGTTCCCTGAAGTGTCCCCAGTCCTGTGTCCCCATCCCCTGTCCCCTCACCCCGGTTCCCTTTCCCAATCTCCTGTCCACTGTTCATGTCCCATTTCCCTGGTCCCATGTCCTCATCCCCTGTCCCCTCACCCTGGTTCCCTTTTCCAATCTCCCATCCACTGTTTCTGTCCCATTTCCCTGATTCCTTCACACTGGTCTGTTGTCCTGGTCCCCTCTCCCAGTTCCCTCTCCTGTGTTCCCTCACCCCAGTCCCCCGTTCCAGCCCTGTCTCCCAGTCCCCTGTCTCCAGTCCCCTCATCACCATCGCCTCTTCCATGTCCCCTGTCCCCATCCCTTTTCCCATGTCCCTTTACCCAGTCCCCTGTCCCACGTCTTCTGTCCCCGATCTCCTCTCTTGGTCCCCTGTCCCCAACCCCTCAGCCCCTGCCCTTGTCCCCATCCCCAGTCCCCGTTCCCAGTTCCATGTCCTTTCTCCCTGTCCCCTATCCCGTTCATTCCGGTCCCCGGTGCCCCTGTCCCTGTCCCCACACCCCTGTCCCTGTCCCCACACCCCTGTCCCCTCTCCCTGTCCCCAGTCCCTTGTCCCGTTCATTCCCTTCCCCTCTCCCATGGATCCCATCCCCTCTCACCCTCTCGATTCCCGGCTCATTCCCGGTCCCATTCCCGGCCGTTCCCCCCGTTGCCATGGTAACCCGGAGGACGCGATCGGCACGTACCAAGCGCGGGGGAAGCGGGGGGGGAGCTCGTCCTCCCCCCCTCCCCGGGCGGGGCTGTGGTAGCGCCCGGGAGGAGCCGCTTTTCCACCGAAAAATGGGATTATTTCCATCCCCCCCCCCCCGGAACCGAAAGGGATATTTCTCTCATTCGATATTGAAACCCACTTTGCATCGGTTTTTTTTCTAGCGAGAAATAACGAGTTCGAACGACAAAACCGCCGCTTTCTGTTGTCACGTGCGTGTCCTTTATTTCAAGGGTTCGGTTTTACCCTTCTGCGACAGGAAAGGTGATGCTGTGGCAGAGATACTGTCCTGGTGAAGCTCCCACCTTGCCTGCTGGCAGGGAAGCGACTCCATTCCTGGATTTGGGGGGGGGTCCCACGTCTAACATCCTGCATCCCCTTCACGTTCATAGAAGCATAAAATCAGAGACTGGTTTGGGTTGGAAGGGACCTTAAAGGACATCCATCTTCTCTGTAACACCCCTGGAATCTTAGGTGATGTGGGAGACTGTAACTGGTGATGTTGTGCACAGCAGGGAGGGATGTTATCCTTGGACAGGTGAGAAATGTTATCCTTGGGCAGGTGAGAAATGTTATCCTTGGGCAGGTGAGGAACTGAGGCAGAAGTCCTAGAGAGGGGGAATAACCTTCTCTTTTTAACCCCCTTCTTGGTTAAATGCAGCTGGAGGTCCATGTTTGGGGGCAGAATGAGGCCATACAAGGTTTGCAGCACCTTGGATTTCCTGCTCAGTCCTGTGATCACAGGAGCAATATATGAATATCTTCATATGGACTGAATATCTTTGTATGGACTGAATATCTTCAGAGGTCCCCAGTTGCTGGTGGGATCTGGGATGGGGTTGATGAGCTGTGTTTCTGACAGTGGATAATGAAATCCTCTGAGGATTACAGGTGAACCAGTCCATTGCTGACAGATTTCCAGGAGCACCAGTCCCATCTCCCTGTCCTGCTGTTTAATAAAAGCAATTCCAGCTGGCTTTTGGATGGAAAGCAGCTGCTGGTGCTTCTGCTCCTTGAAATCATGAGACCTGAGATCTTTGACATGAGGAAAAAGGGGGGTTTCTGAATATGGTACAGGTTTCCCATCACTATACATCTGTTTCCTTGCCACATGCAAACATTTTCTCACTTATTGCAGTGGTTTTGTCACTTGGATTCTTCAGAGTGGTTTCCCTGTGTCCTTCTGTTACATATTGCAGGTTGGGCTTGTGATTGGCAACTGAAATACAAACACACATTTTTTATTATTATTATTATTATTATTATTATTATTATTATTATCTGCAGAAATGCCCCAACAGGAATTAGTTTATGTTGGTTAAAGTTTTTTACCTTGTCCATTCTTCTCGTGGCCTGGACTGTCTTCATTAGATCTGGATTTATAACTCTCCAGTGTCTGCTCTGAAACATCATTTTCTGTGCGCAAACCAAATGTAATTAAGATAATGAGTTTTTTCCCATGACTCTTTCTCACCCTCTGCCTTGAGCATGAAAATCTTGAGGGACTAGTTCTGAAATGGGGGTTCAATCAGCCTGACCAGCTCAGAGACAGGCTTAACACAGCAATTCCATGGTCAACATTCCAGGGCCATCACCCACCTCTCTTCCATACTCCATGAGCTTTTTTCAGCTTCATCAGGAAAAGCAGGACGATGATGAGCAGCACAAAAATCAGGGCAGCCACCAGGATTGGCAGCAA